TCTCTTGAATACTTAGGCGTTCGCTTGACCCCCACTTATGACTCCTTGTTTGCTGCAAATTATTATCCATTGCTTAGCTCTCTATCCTCTCTTATGCATTCTTGGCAATTTCCGCACCTGTCTTGGATAGGACGGGTTAATTCGGTGAAAATGACCATCTTGCTGAAATTGTTGTATTATTTTCGCACACCCCCGGTGCGGGTTCCCCCTCATTTTCTTCGGTTGCTTCAGGCGAAGTTAATGCGTTTTATCTGGGCCGATAAGCACCCCAGAGTATCCAAAAGTACGCTTTTTGCCCATAGACTTCAGGGTGGTCTTGGGGTGCCTAATGTGACTAAGTATTATCAAGCGAGCCAGATTGCCCCGCTGTCTATGTTGCACGCCTCTTCCGACGTCCCCCTCTGGGTCCTGTTGGAACTACCTAATTGTGCCCCTATCGCACTGTCGACGCTTCTATGGCTTCCCCCTGCCCTGCGCCCTATGGCACTGAGTCCGATGTTACTTCATGGCCTACAAGTTTGGGACTCGGTACGTTATTCTGGTGGTCTGATGTCACCTTTTCTGCCTTTGCTACCAATTATTAACAACCCTCTTTTCCCGCCGGGTTTGGATCACCCAGGGGCATTTTCTTGGTGGGTGACTAATGGTTTTTCGCAGGTGCGACACTTTTTGATTTTTCGGTCCTTTCCCACCTGGGACTCTCTTCGGGAGTCCCGGAATATCCCCCCAGCGGAATTTTTTCAATATCTTCAATTGCGACACTGGCTGCTCTCGCTGCGGGGTACTTCTGCGTTCCCGTACCAGAAATCTGCCTTTGAACAGCTTTGCCAACAGCGTCCCGGCGCTCCGGGCCTTATATCCCTTCTTTATGCAGCTCTGAACAGACGCTCGTCGAATGCTTCTCTTTCATATGTTGTTCAGTGGGAGCGCGACCTGGGAGTGGCTGTGGATCCAGAGGACTGGAATAAGGCCTGGTCACTCATAGCTAAATGCTCATTTAATACGACCACACTGGAGGCAGCCTATAAGGTATTGTTTCTTTGGTACTGGGTTCCGGCTCGGTTGGCCCGGGCTAACCCTGCCTGTAGTGATCAATGTTTTCGGGGTTGTGGTCATCGTGGTGATGTATTGCATATCTGGTGGTCATGCCCGAGACTGTTTCGTTTTTGGTCTCGTGTATTTGGCCTCCTTTTCATCTCTCCATACGCCGGGATGTTCGGTATGCTTTGCTTCATTGCCCCATACCGGGCCTCTTGGCTCACCAGCAGAAGTTGGCTTCCTATCTGTTTTTATCCGCCACTAGAACAATTGCTCAGGCCTGGAAGAGTCCGTTTGTCCCTCTTCAGGGGGTGCGGGATCGTATGATCACTATGATGCTCAACGAACAGATGTCGAGTATCCGCAATGACTTCCAACGTAAATTTTTGAAAATATGGGAGCCTTGGTTGCAATTTGCCCTTCCCTCACTCTCCCCGGCTAGTCTGGGGATGTAATGGCGTTCGGTGTTGGCGCTCTTGAATCCCTGCTCTTTGCCCCCCCCCTTTTATCTTTTTTTTTTTCTTTTCCTTTTTCTCTCTCTCTCTGTTTTTGGTGTGACTAGGACAGCTGCATTTAGTTGTTATAATCAGTTACATTAATGTTTTGTAACTTATGTGCCATTGATAGCCCCTGCGTGGGCGTACCTTTTGCCCTGTTGGCATTAGAGCATTGTTTTTCCCCCTTTTTTTTTTTATTTTGCATTTTGTTTATCTGTGCAATTGATAGCCCCTGCGTGGGCGTGTTTTATTGCCTCTGTTTTATACTGTTTAAAAAATTTAATAAAAACACTGAAATAGAAAATTTATTAAGAAAAGTTACTTATTTGCAAAATTTTAAAACAGAAACTAAGAAAAACACACTTTTTTTTCCAAGTTTGCGGTCTTTTCCATTTATAGTGCAAAAAAGTAAAAAAAAACCAGCAGTGATTAAATACCACCAAAAGAAAGCTCTATCTGTCTCAAAAAAATAACAATTTCGTATGGGTACAGTGTTGCATGCTTGAATAATTATCATTTAAAGTACAACAGACTTGAACGTGTCCAGTATTGAGGTGGTTAATGAACAAATTTCTAAAAAGCGTCCACGCTTGCATAAAAGTTGTCTATGCACAAATGGTACCCTTTACGGAACAAGGGTGAATTCGAGTCCATCACTATCTTACCACTCTTACCATCACCACCCATGTAGTATGGGGGGCTCCACTTGACTCTCTTCTCCCTCATAAAGTCCAAAGCGGTATGTATAGCCTGTTGCCCCCTCACAGAGCTTATACATTTTGACTCCATCTCCGGTATACGTGCTGGGGAGATATTGCTTTATTGCAAGCCTGCCAGTAAAATGTGCAAGGGTCTCATCTATATAGATGTCATTCATAGTCAGGGTAACACCATGGATAACAGTGGGTTTTGTCACTGAAATGCATAAAATGTATTATTGCCTCATATATTTTCCTGTCCACTGCAGCAGAGAACACAGGCATATGATGATTCGGGTCTGTGGACCAATATGACCACAGGTCATTCTTTTTTGTAATGCTCATCTTAAGGGTTAGGCCCCAAAAAGTTTTAAACTTAGAAACCATGATAGTTTTCCACTCAAATGGTCTGACAAGGTATGAATTTGGGTTGGTGGTAATGTACTGTAGGGCATAAACATTACTTTGGTCCACAATAAGCATTCTTCGGTGAAAAATAGCCAAAAAGAAGTCAAGGAGAGTTAAGTTTGCTGTTTCCACCTGAACCCCCCCAGCTGGGCTGTGAATAGGGGGATAGCTGGTGCTGCTGAATCTGGGGGCAGCAAATTGATGTTTGCAAGCACCTCTGGAAGGCTGCTATAGGCTCTACGGGCCTGTGCTCAAATTCTTGGCTTCGGTTGCATAATACTACTAGCGCTTGCCACCTCACCAGCTTGTACTGCACTGCTTGTGCTCACCACTTCACCATGAAATACTGCAGTGCTGGTGTCTAAAAGGCCACTATACACGGCACTGGTGTTTGCCAGGCCACCAAAAAAAAGTAGTGAAGCACTAGCATTTGCATCATGCTGCATATGAGCATAATCATGTGTTTCTAGCATTTCAGCAACATGGGGATCTGGTACGCCTGGTTTTTGCAGGGACCTCTTCGTCATCATTCGAGCTAGCTGCCAGGGTGCCGCTCCTTTCTACAGGTTCATATTCTGAGCCTGATTCGGAAAGTGAGGCGTCCCCTTCGCGCTCATCTGCCATACTCAAAATCCTGTAGGCCTCTTCAGTGTACCTTTCCTTGGACATTTTGGGCACTAAGTTTACAGGTACCTAGTGGTCACTATGGGTAAAAAGAGCTCCTGGCTAACAATCAGAGACTACTTACTAGAAATAAAACTAACTGCTAGTGCTAGAGGTCAGGCCTGATCTTGCTAACAGTTTTTGCAGACAGTATATCAGAAGTGTCAGTGATTGGAGCTGATCCTGCTAACACTACATTTTTGGGAACACTAGTGTCAGGACTCCCAGGTATGACCAGAGATGTGTGACTGATGCAGGGAAACGCAGACTTCAGAAATGTGATAAACAATATAATTTATTAACACTAACCATACAAACATAAACGCAGGGCAATACTAAACATACTACAGTGCAAACAAACCAAACCAACCACCTCACAGATAACAGTACATACAAGCAAGCGTCGTCAGGCAGGCCGGGTCAATATCAATTGGGCAGGTAGGTACGGGGGGAGCAAGCAGAGAATGGTCGGGGTCACAGGCCAGGTTCAGCAGGTAGCAAGCAGCGAGGTACAGAGGGTCAGACAGAGGGGTGGTCAGGGTCACAAGCCAGGATCAGAGCAGGAGAAGTCAGCAGCAGTTCAGATCAGGGTCAGCGAAGGAACAGAAACAGGATGCAGGACAGATACAGGGCCCAGGACAAACACAACACCAAGGCAGAGTCTGCAAGTCTGGCCATCCCTTAAATACCCCAGTATCATCAGTTCCAGGTGTTAGCTGGCTGAAAGGTTGAGTCTCTGATTGCTGGGAGCACCCGCTGGCCAGCCCTGGTACTGCAGATCAAAAGGCAGGTGAGTCCCACCATTGCTGGCCAGTCCATTCCTAACAGTACCCCCCCCTCAAGGAGCGGCCTCAGGACGCTCCAAACAGTCCTAGCTGGGCAAAATGTTCCACCGCCCGGGTCTGGCAACTGGCGGGATAGCAAAGACTGGCACACCGGGCAGGACTCCGGGCAGCGGCACACCGGGCTGGACTCCGGGCAGCGGCACATCGAGCAGAGGCACTCCGGGCAGAGGCACACCGGGCAGAGGCACATCGGGCAGGACTCCGGGCAGAGGCACATCGGGCAGAGGCACATCGGGCAGGACTCCGGGCAGAGGCACATCGGGCAGGACTCCGGGAGAGGCACATCGGGCAGGACTCCGGGCAGAGGCACATCGGGCAGGACTCCGGGCAGAGGCACATCGGGCAGGACTCCGGGCAGAGGCACATCGGGCAGGACTCCGGGCAGAGGCACATCGGGCAGAGGCACATCGGGCAGAGGCACATCGGGCAGGACTCCGGGCAGAGGCACATCGGGCAGGACTCCGGGCAGAGGCACATCGGGCAGGACTCCGGGCAGAGGCACATCGGATTACCAGGCGAAGCAGCAGGCAGCGGGCCACCAGGCGTAGCAGCAGGCACCGGGCCCCCGGGCGGGGCGACAGGCACCGGGCCCCCGGGGCGGAGCGGCAGGCACCGGGCCCCCGGGCGGAGCGGCGGGCACCGGGCCCCCGGGCGGGCGGCGGGCACCGGGCCCCCGGGCGGGGCGGCGGGCACCGGGCCCCCGGGCGGGGCGACGGGCACCGTGCCCCCAGGCGGGGCGACGGGCACCGTGCCCCCAGGCGGGGCGACGGGCACCGTGCCCCCAGGCGGAGGCGACGGGCACCGTGCCCCCAGGCGGAGCGGCGGGCGCCGGACCCCCAGGCGGAGCGACAGGTCTCGGGCCCTCAGGCGGAGCGGCGGGCGCCGGACCCCCAGGCGGAGCGACAGGTCTCGGGCCCTCAGGCGGAGCGGCGGGCGCCGGACCCCCAGGTGGAGCGACAGGTCTCGGGCCCTCAGGCGGAGCGGCGGGCGCCGGACCCCCAGGCGGAGCGACAGGTCTCGGGCCCATAGGCGGAGCGGCGGGCGCCGGACCCCCAGGAGGAGCGACAGGTCTCGGGCCCTCAGGCGGAGCGGCGGGCGCCGGACCCCCAGATGGAGCGACAGGTCTCGGGCCCATAGGCGGAGCGGCGGGCGCCGGACCCCCAGGTGGAGCGACAGGTCTCGGACCCTCAGGCGGAGCGACAGGTCTCAGGCCCCCAGGCGGGGCGGCGGCGGCGCCGGATCCCCAGGCGGAGCGGCGGGCGCTGGACCCCCAAGCGGAGCAACAGGTCTCGGGCCCCCAGGCGGAGCGGCGGGCACCGAGTCACCAGGCACGACAGTGGGCTCCGAGTCAACTGGTATGACCGCAGGCACTGGGTCAGACATTGTATGGTCTGGCTGGACAGCGGGCATCGGGTCACCAGGCATCAGGTCATTTTGGCTCGACAGCGGGCACCGCGTCATCTGGCAAGGCAGTGGGCTCCGAGTCAAAACTGGTATGACCGCGGGCACTGGGTCAGACATTGTATGGTCTGGCTGGACAGTGGGCATCGGGTCACCAGGCATCAGGTCATTTGGCTCGACAGCGGGCACCGCGTCATCTGGCAAGGCAGTGGGCTCCGAGTCAACTGGTATGACCGCGGGCACTGGGTCAGACATTGGATCGTCTGACTGGACAGCGGGCACTGGGTCACCAGGCATCAGGTCATTTGGCTCGACAGCGGGCACCGCGTCATCCGGCAAGGCAGTGGGCTCCGAGTCAACTGGTATGACCGCGGGCACTGGGTCAGACATTGGATCGTCTGACTGGACAGCGGGCACTGGGTCACCAGGCATCAGGTCATTTGGCTCGACAGCGGGCACCGCGTCATCTGGCAAGGCAGTGGGCTCCAAGTCAACTGGTATGACCGCGGGCACTGGGTCAGACATTGGATCGTCTGACTGGACAGCGGGCACTGGGTCACCAGGCATCAGGTCATTTGGCTCGACAGCGGGCACCGCGTCATCTGGCAAGGCAGTGGGCACCGGGTCACCAGGCATTGGATCGTCTGGCTCGACAGCGGGCATCGGGTCACCAGGTATGACAGCGGGCACTGGGTCACCAGGCATCAGGTCATTTGGCTTGCCAGCGGGCACCGCGTCATCTGGCAAGGCAGTGGGCACCGGGTCACCAGGTATAACAGCGGGCTCTGAGTCAATTGGCACGACAGCGGGCACTGGATCAGGTACCGGATCATCTGGATCAACAGCGGGCATCGAGTCAACTGGCCTAATAGGATCGTCGGGCTGGATCAGTTCATCATGCTGAGTAGCGGCATCAGGCTGAATGCAGGCATCAGGCTGAATGCAGGCATCAGGCTGAGGAGAGGCTTCAGGCTGAGGAGAGGCTTCAGGCTGAGGAGAGGCTTCAGGCTGAAGAGAGGCATCCGGCTGAAGAGAGGCATCCGGCTGAAGAGAGGCATCCGGCTGAAGAGAGGCATCCGGCTGAAGAGAGGCATCCGGCTGAAGAGAGGCATCCGGCTGAAGAGAGGCATCCGGCTGAAGAGAGGCATCCGGCTGAAGAGAGGCATCCGGCTGAAGAGAGGCATCAGGCCGAGTAGAGGCATCAGGCCGAGTAGAGGCTTCAGGCCGAGTAGAGGCTTCAGGCCGAGTAGAGGCTTCAGGCTGAGTAGAGGCTTCAGGCCGAGTCACGGAAGGCAGGCTCACCGGTTTGGATACTGGCAGGATGGTATTGGTTGGAAAGAATTTTCGCTTTTTTCTGGTTTTAACTACTGGAGCACTGCAAGTAAACGCAGGTCTGCAAACGAATGGAGCACCTGGAGACAGAGAAAAACTGGAGGATGGAACAGGAGAGGGAGCAGTTGCTACAGAGGGCTCTTTTACAGGGTTAAAGGCAGGATAGGTGCAGCGAGTGGGAACAGGGGACTGACATGCGGTAGATAGCAGGGCAGGAGGAGCTGGTGGGAATACAGGAGTAGAGTTAGAAGCAGGACTGGGTCTTTGTAAGCTGACTGAGGCTGGGTGCAACAAGTCTGTCCATGTCTGCAGTAGGGGTTGAACAAAGCTGAGCTTACACAAAGCCTGTCTGGTCAATGACTGCACTGCGTTGATACAATCTCTTAGTGTCTGTGGTGAACATGTGGAGTAACGCTCCAAAAGGTAACCCACATCATCCTCTAATAACCACACCAGGGACTCTACCTGGTCTGCACTAAATGGTGGCAAAAAATTCATCCCTGCATTCGGGGGAACCAGATGAAACCAACTCTGCACAAACCTCAATCAATGGCTGCACCTCAGAGAACACTGTGCCCTGATCTACTAGAACATGAGCGAGCCGTATACATTCTAGCAATTCATCCCGGGTATACTCCTTCAGAGTTTGATAAGCATACTCCCTGTCATCAAACACTAGCAGATATAAATACTCAACCTCATCAAGATCCATCCTTCCCATCAACAAGCCAAGATGGCTTCCCTGTGCAGCCACTTCTGGTCAGGATTGGCCTTGGTGTAATGTCAGGACTCCCAGGTATGACCAGAGATGTGTGACTGATGCAGGGAAACGCAGACTTCAGAAATGTGATAATAAACAATATAATTTATTAACACTAACCATACAAACATAAACGCAGGGCAATACTAAACATACTACAGTGCAAACAAACCAAACCAACCACCTCACAGATAACAGTACATACAAGCAAGCGTCGTCAGGCAGGCCGGGTCAATATCAATTGGGCAGGTAGGTACGGGGGGAGCAAGCAGAGAATGGTCGGGGTCACAGGCCAGGTTCAGCAGGTAGCAAGCAGCGAGGTACAGAGGGTCAGACAGAGGGGTGGTCAGGGTCACAAGCCAGGATCAGAGCAGGAGAAGTCAGCAGCAGTTCAGATCAGGGTCAGCGAAGGAACAGAAACAGGATGCAGGACAGATACAGGGCCCAGGACAAACACAACACCAAGGCAGAGTCTGCAAGTCTGGCCATCCCTTAAATACCCCAGTATCATCAGTTCCAGGTGTTAGCTGGCTGAAAGGTTGAGTCTCTGATTGCTGGGAGCACCCGCTGGCCAGCCCTGGTACTGCAGATCAAAAGGCAGGTGAGTCCCACCATTGCTGGCCAGTCCATTCCTAACAACTAGTATAGTTCTGACTGTGATCAAGATACTGATCTGTCCAGGTCCTATACTAATAATGGCGGTGATCGGCAACTGATAGTTGGCTGAAATAGTGTGGTGGGCAATCTGGCACCTACTAACTCTGAAGCTAACTAGCGACATTAATTCAGTGATAAATACTGTACTAATGACACTAGTGACAGGGCAATCGAAAAGTTTACTAAAGAGAAATCAATGGGTTAAGTGTGCGTAACAAGTGTATGCACGTGTATATTTTGTTGCTTTTACTGAAACAAGACCTGGCTTTCATCTCTCCCCGAACAAAAAAGAGTTGTGCTGTGTTTAGCTGATCAGCAGGTTCATGTCAAAAATCAGTGGCCGAGACCTGCTGACAAACTTGTGCTGTAGCCAGTCACAGCAAGCACTCCAAACCTTGAAGAAAGGTGTCAGCGTACAGGTACGTTGCCAAAGCTGCACCAGCTTCCCGCTCACAGTAAATGTACTGTGAGCGGGGCGGCAAGTAGTTAATCTAAATGATTTAGAAGCTACACATCGGCATTGACAAATTCCCCCACGAACTCACGCACCATTATTATACATATCTTAGCAGCTGCAAAAACCAACATTACCAGACTATGGCGCTCTATCACCACTCCTTCTTTCCCGCCTCTTATCAGATCTTAATCTCCAATGTGAGATGGAAAGAAGAATAGCCTTCCATAACTCCTCCTACCATAAATTTACGGTCCAACGGTCTCGATGGCTAAAAAACCCCAATTGCACAATAGATTGATTACGGATGCATACCAAGATAAATTACTCTACCCCTACTGCACTGGTGCCTTCCCCCCCCCCCCCCCGTTTCCCCCTATCCCCTATCCTTCCCCATTTACACCTTTCCATTTTCCAGTAAGGTTCACGAGGCACCGAGTATACCTCTCATGTAAATATAATCAAACCTTATAGTTTCCCTAGCCAATTGGTGGGGATCCTTCATTATCGTTTCTCCTCTCTCATGCATTACGCCTATCGAATGTGAACCTTCTCATTTCCATATCAATGTCTATATACCCTTTTTTTTTCTGTATGTTAAAACTTTTCAATAAAAACTATTTGAATAAATGATTTAGAAGTTTGTAAACTTACTTTGTGAAGATCCCCACATATTACTTCCTTGAATTTGTGACATGTATTCACTGTGCCTTGTGAGTAGTCACACATTTCACAGAGGCCTGCCTTCTGAGCTGCAGAGATGCTGAGAGTTGCAGAAGTCAGTACAGACAGCAAGGTACCTTGGGATATGAAGTCATTAGACATCGAAAGTAAACAGCAGAATAGAAAAGAGATGGCCATAGAACAGAAAAAGATGGCCAGCAGATAGACAGCATTCACAACATGATAGATTTTTCAAGTAAACTTATATTGGGTTGTCAATTATAACTATTGTATGTATTTGTTATTACAGTGCTGATATAAAATGAACATCCATACTGTGGCCACAAAGTCTCTGGGTTTCTATATGTCTTCAGTCAGCCTTGTACAAGGAAAAAACTTCAAGCTGTGTCCCTCCCCAAACTTGTAAGGTCTTGCTTACTCTCTTGTGCAGTCCTGGAAGAATATTTGAGTAAACCAGAGTTTGACTTACTGAAAATATTTCCTGTAGTCATCCAGGACAGCAGGAATACTGTCCTTTTGTTATGTTCATTTGTGGCATACTGTATGTTTTGTTTGGGATTATGTCCTTCAGTTTTTGTCTAAGGGTCAATTCACACCAAATGTGTTTATTCCAGCGGAGATAAGGCAAAATGTCTTGTCTCCTGTGTGCCCAATTCACGTTGTGGTTCGGTGGCATGCAGGCACGGTGCGCTGAAAATAGTAGTGCATGCACTACTAGTGAAAGAGTAGCGAATGCACTACTTTTTTTCAGCTCAGCGCAAGGCATCACCTGCACCACAAATCAGCCAATGCGACTTTTCAATAAAATGTTTTCAAATTTAAAAAAAAGGAACGTTGCAGTACAGTGCAATAATACCCGCTGGACTTCACCGCACACCAGCTGTTGCATTATAAAGCGCTGGCTGGCATGAATGGACCCTTATATTGACCAGCTCTGTAGAACTAAATTATTTTAGTTTGTGATAGGGAATTTTCTGTTTCTGGAGGAGGAGTTGCCTATCACTCAGGTGCTGTCCTGGAAGACTTTTGGAAATAGTGTTGGAAAGATCAGGGTTTGTTTGGTTTTGCTGACAGTAAGTAACGCTTGCTGTACACAAGGTAATAGAATTGTTTAATTTATGGAAACAATACAAAATAAATAGCACTTCCTTCCTCTACCAAAATCCCAATAGATTGCTTAACATTCCTTCCCCTGAAGTACAAACATAGTAATAATCATAAGCAAACTTATAATAAGTGACTACCCAAAAAAAATTCAAAATAATATATCCAAAAAAATATATATATCCAAAATATATATGAAGTCCCATACACCTAAAGTCCAAAATAAAGTTCACGTATCCAAAATCTTTACAAGTGATCTCTCAATTTGTCTTTTTCCCCGGATCAGATTGGTGATATATTCCAGAAAATCTTCAAGTGCCTCAAAAGAAAAAACTCAACATAGTGTATTACCCTAAAAAATATATATATATTT